AAGAGAAGGGGAGGGCTCCGCGTGTGCTGCTCTTGCCACGCCTCCAGGTACCTCCCCTGAAGCTCCCATTGGAGCAGTGCCTGGAGGCAAGGGCAATGCACAGAGCCCTCTGCCCCGCCCCCCCCCCCCGCCCAGGGGCTGCAGGGAAGTGGTGCTGGCTGCTTCTGAGAGCAGTGTGTGGCCAACGGCATCACAGGGGGCAATCCCGTGGGCCAGATCCCGTGAGGGGCCGGCTCAGGTCCGCGGGCTGTAGTTTGCCCACCCCTGGTCTAGTGATATACTGTAGGGATCAGCTTTGTCTTATTTATCATCTTCCCTGGGATGCTATATTGAGGGAAGTGGTCACTTGCTAGGCACTGTATAAATATAACTCATGGGGGGATTCTGTGCCCCTTCACGGATGCAGAATTCGTATGGCTCACATTTTTCTGTGCCCCCTGCACAGAAAAACGCAAAAAAAAAATAAATCTGCCGGGGACACGTGCCTCTTCCCTGGCAGCCCATCTGTTTCAGAGTGCCTGGAGCAGCCTCAGGGATGGGAGCGGGGGGCTGGGTGTGCATGCCTGCGTGATCACCATCGGAGGGGGGTGGGGTGGGGCTGGGTGTACATGTGTGCCAACGAGAGAGAGAGACAGACACTCTGTCCCTCTCCCTTGCTACTGCAGCTCACTGGTGTGGAAGGGTAGGGCTTTTTATTATGCACAAGGCAGGCTAGAGGCACAAATTAGCAGCCATGCCTGAGTTAATTGATTCATTCTCTGATGCACTAGCAGCCTGCAGATTATGTATTCCTCATGGCACCTTATCTTAAACCAAACTTTGCACCCTCGATAATCTGTATGTTATTCCCTGATAACCAGAAACTTCTATGCTCAAACTTTGTTCACAATTTATTTTTAACATCATCTTAGTAACATTGTTAAAGTTGCTGTTGATGGTTAATTGATCTCATTCTCCAAGGCAGAAATGTAGCAGCCTGACTGTTAACGTTATAGGTTATTAATGTTGCTATTGTTAGTTTACTGTTCCCAGTCTCAGTCAATTCCCCTAGGAGCATAAAACCTGTGAAAGTTTGAAGTTCCCTACATTGCCAGGAGCCTTATGATAAATGACAGTAAGGGAATCAGCTAGGAAGATCTATGTGCTTTCTCACTTTTTTCCTGTGCCAAAGTGGCACAATGGGGTTAGATTACAGCTCAGGATTTATTTTACTTGCCCATTTAAAAAAAAAGAAAAAGAAAAAAAGAAAAGAGTTTGAGGGCAAATAAAACAAACATTTACCAATCAGTCAATAAAAAGTCAGGACAATCAGAAGCAAGTACTTCCCAAAGTCCCCAGCCAGGTCCAGGACAATGATTAGTAAAACTGTACGACTTCCATGTGTGGAAGTCTGAGCAATTTAAAAAGTATGGAGAATTTCACAGAATTTTTTGGTGCAGAATCCCCCCAGGAGTAAAATATGTAGGAGACATGATTCCAGCCCCAAAGAGCTTATAGTAGAATTAAAGATGCAACAAGGGAATGTAAACAGTACGTGGGAATGGGGGAGGGAGAACAGTGGAGAGAGAAGGAGGGTAATTGGTAAGATCACATGATTACAAATACTAGTTACATGCACAATTTGATAGCCATTAATAAGGCTCGGTGTTTGTCACAGAGATCATGGATTCTGTTACTTTCCGTCTGCAGTGGCCTGTGCTATTGATCTGGGAGCTGTCTGAGCAGCTCGGGCAGCTCCTGGGCCAGTCGCACCAGACACTGCTGGGACAGTCTTGCGCTTGCGCCCTCTCCCCCCCCCACCCAGCAGCAGGAGTTTAAGGTAGGGGGGGGCTCGAGGGCGTGGGGGGGCTTATCCTGGGGGGGGGCTCCCCCAGAAGGGGGACAGGAACTCCCCTCCCTCATCTCTTAGCTCTGTGTGCTGCCCCTGCCCACAGGCACTGCCCCCGCAGCTCCCATTGGCTGCGGTTCCCAGCCAATGGGAGATGCAGAACTGGGGTTTGGGGCAGAGCGGAGGCAGCACATGGAGCTAGGAGCTGGAGCTTGCAGCTTCCCAGGAGCTGGGTAGGGAATCTGTCCCAGCCCCACCAACCCTCCCCCCCCACATACCTGCAGCACCCCTCCTGAGCATCCACAGCACCCCCAGTCCCTTCCCCCTAGCATCTGCACCCCAACCCTAACACACATACACCCTCATTTTAGTCAGGGGTATATAGTAAAAGTCATGGACAGGTCACAGGCCGTGAATTTTTGTTTACTGCCCGTGACCGATCCATGACTTTTACTAAAAATACCAATGACTAAAACACAGCCTTACCCATGAATACTTTTAGAGGCCAATTCCCTTCCCTTTTCTGAAGTATAAAATATAAAAAGTACATCAGTAATCTCAATGGACATCCAGCTATTATCAGTTTTCACACAACTAATTTGGATTACATTCTGCCACCCCGCTCATGTTGAATGGTATGCAGTTCAGTGAATAATCCTATCCTTAAAGAAAAAAGGAAGGTGGCAAAGTCTGGCCCTATGATTATATATTCCTTCTCATCTCCAAGCCACAATTTAATTTAGAATTTTTGAGATTTGCTCTTGGTGGGCTGTTTTCACTGTATATAGATTTTAGAAGAACGATGAAAGACTTCAGTTCTGCTTTTCAGTCCTCAAACAAACCTCTTCATGGTGTACTTTTTATAGCATTCAACAAAAAGAAGGCAGACTAACAGCTTAAACTGCTTAGAATCAGAATGGTTTCATTGCTAAGCATGGCAGATTTTCCTTTATACTTTAATCCAGGTAATGTCAGGCTCTCGTACTCCCTTTTTCTAGTTCTGTCCAATGAAAACCACAATTCTTCCCAGCTGTGCTAACACTGACTCAGAAATCTCTTTGCATCATCTGTATTTAATTTGTTAAAGAAAACCAGCCATGTTCATTTTAGGTCTGTTCCAAGAAGGAACGCTTCTCAAAAATGGAGAAAAACAACATCCGGGAAAAAGAAATTATTATTATTTTCCACGTAAAAGACAGCAAATCATGGAATAAAAACCCAGTTAAAAAGGAAACAGTTACGCTTTTCTTTAAAAGGCAAGTTTCCATTCCTCGGCACAAGTACAGTGGCTTCTTTAATGTTTGGAAAATGCCAACCACATTGTGGGAACTATCAGCAACAAATTGTGTGTCTTATTTTACACAGTTTTAAAATGACCATGTGTCTTAGAATAGACTAAGGCTGTACTGGGAATTCTATATTGAGGGTCAAGTCCTGCTGAACTTACTTATATAAATACTTTTACTGAATTCAATTAAACTATCTGCATGACTGAGGCTATCAGGATTTGACCATTAGTAGGGTCCTACATGGAAAATAAGCAAGTCTGAATTATGGTAACATAATCTGTACTTTATATTTAAGATTCTATCATCCTGTATACTTTCTTACTCCGCTTTTCGCCAGACCACCATGCAAATCCAATTTCTTCACCACATACCTGCTTGGAACCTTTCCTGGAAGTGAAGAAGGCATCGCAGTTCTTCCAGCGACATTTTAGGGTCTGAAAATGTGGGTTGGTGTGATCTGTTAGCAAGTGTTGTTTCAGGTGGTCCACAACTCCAAATATCAGTGAACATCCATGCCACTGGTGGGAGAGTGTATCATAATACGGGGGTGAGGTGAGGGAGGAGGGGAAGAGAAAGAGAAGTCAGATAATGCTTTCATTCCTGCTGCCCAACAATATTCCACCAAAGAGTTTCTCACACACTGTCTCCAAACTTCATCCTTCCTCATATCAAACTACAGAGCCCACATCTCCAAACTGCTTCGGGAGGTTGTGGAAGCTTCTTAACTGGAGGTTTTCAAAGGAAGGGTGAGTAGTTTAGCTGCAACGACATCTTGGCAGTGGTTTAGACTAGATGACTCTTGCTGTCCCTTCGAACAGTATGATTCTATGATTCCATTAGCACCAGTTTTAGGGAGGAATGAAATTGGTGCAACAGTAGCATGAGGCCCTGTTTTGTATTTTCTAGTCAAGCTAAGTCTAGAACAAATGGGCTCTCAATGGAGCTTTACAGCCATTAATTTTCATGCTGGCAAGTTTAATCAGAAACAAAAGTGCACTTCTTTGGCACTACAACGTCATTGTGCAACTGGAAATATCTAGTGGGCCAGAAAAACAGGAGGTAAGAGGTTTTTCTTTTTAAAGAAAACAAAACAAGATTTAGATACAAGACTAATGTTGTTAACATTAGTGCAACTGTTTCTGTGCACAGTGGGTGCAGTAAAGTAAAAGCTTTTTGTTTCATAAGTTGGCACGTGCCACACACTCAGCTTGAAACAGTCAATATAAGAGAAAGATTTTTTAAAACGATCACTTATCTACCTCAAAACTCAGCACCTGCCATCTACTACAGGGTTCCTGGCAAGGCAGCTGCTCCCAGAGGTTAAACTATTTTCACAGTGGAACTTAAAAGATGTGTGACTGGCTAAACCAAAAGAGTGCTCTAAAAAAAACATGAAAATGAATCTGTTCCATCCCTTGATTTCTGTCCAGACACAGGAGATTGGTCTAGAAACTATAATAAAGAAGGATAAAGAACTGAACACTAGAAATGCTTTGTTCTTTACCCAGCAACGGTAATTCTGCATCAGGTTAAGCCGCACAGCTTGGACGCTGCCATCGTAGCAGCCAGTGTAGATCTGTGAAGAAAAAATTATGAAAGAGAAAAAAAATAAAGATGTGTTTTTAAAAGAGATAACAGGCAAAAAGACCAAGTATGAAACATATGAAGTGGAAAGCCTATGCACATAAGGCTTCCAATTTTGAAACACTTCTTAGATCCAACATTTAAAAATATTGGTTTTTGAACAAAGTAATTGAAAGAGTTTTGCTTCAGAAACCCCGCTGCACACCTGAAACATGTAGAGAACCAAAATAAGAAATTAACTCGCCTATTTCCATATACAAACTAAATGCAAAACAATTTTTTTTTTGCTGCTTATAGTGTAAATTAGATTGTAAAAATCCTTTCAATTTTAGTAGTGTTATTAACAGGTAAGTTAAAAAATTATTCTTCAACCTGACAGAGTCCCTTAAAGACACTTCCATGACTTGGTCTGTAAACCAGTATCTAACTGGTTTACAGACCATCTAGAAGTATGCTGTTTCTGATCTCTAATAAACAGCAGTAAACTGATGGCTAATAGTTCAATTTGTAATTTTGGAGAAATGTGAAGCTAACAGATAGTTGAGAATATGACATGTTATTTCTTATTTCCACTATCAGAAGATATCAATTATCTATCTGCTGCAGGGAAGGGACTATACCCTAGTGTTCAAACAGATACAGAAGGAGTGAGAGAATGTCCATTGTATAGTACACTTCACTGACTGCTAATCTGAAGCTTCATTTGTGTCTAGATGCCTAAAGCATCTCAGAAATATGGTACAGCATAAATCTTGGACCACAATCACACAGTTTGGGCAGTTAAATCTCAACTTCAGCCCCATGAGAAGCGGGGCTAGGAAAAAAATATGCATTTCCCATAGTGCATTGGTTCTCAGGTTTTCCTACACTTTACTCTTTTGTTATTACAAATTTGAAAATCAGAAATATTAAGCACTTCCCGTTTTAATTCTCATTTTATCAAAGTTCAGGAACAAATTTTCAACTGCACATTCACAAGAGTTTTTAAGGGTGTCCAGCTTAAGCAGGCAAGTACTCAGATCTTTGTGTATACTATAAACCCCAACAACCTCATGTGCATCAGGGTATTTGTATACCTAAGTCAGTCAAAAAAATGTTCATGTGTTAATTTGAAAGTATGGTCCTGAAAGTTGGAAGTGGTTTGACTGAGTGAAGTCCTACTAAATCTAGTCATATAGCTGCTAGAGGAAATGTCTGAAACAGGACAGAGACACTTCAGTAATTACTTAGGGTTTTAATACTTTAACTGTTCTGATTATAGTAACGATGCACACTATGAAGATTAAATTAATGCCTTATGTCTAGCTGATAGAGCTATAGTCATGAAATTATGATACAATATTAGCAATCAAACAGCTCAATTTTCCCAACACAATTTAGCATATGAACTATTTTCCAGAATTGCTACATTGGTATATAAACAGCTTTTCTTTATTATTTTCTTTTATTATTATTATTATTCTTTTGACTGCCATTTTAAATGGTCCTCTCTCTAGTTCAGTCAGGAAAGTTAAAATAATTAAATCATCTACCACAGATATCAATAAACTCTGAAACCAACACTATCATCAGCTAACAAACAAGACTTTCTATTTTAGATCAATGAAAGGAGGAGAGTTACCATGCTCTTATGAATAGTCATGCACATGATCATATCTGTGTGTCCTCCGTAGACTTGCAAACGGTCATGAGACTTGGGAAGAAAAGAAAACGAAACGTTGGGCATGTAATAGTTTGTCATTTTGCAGGCATTTTTTATTGGCTTGCATAATCAACAGTGACTTTTTAAGAGTTAGGAGCACTGACTATTACACGAGACTTGTAAGGGCCTCGTGGGTGCCACACACTGCAATCACATTGTACTATGTGCTATTAATTTCTTAATTAATGGCAAGGATTCCACCATTTTTCCCTCAGTCTACTCTTTCAGGCCTACTGAATGGCTAGATTGGACTCCTTTCAGAACCTAACACCACTAATCAGCTGGAGGAATTGTTCAGCAATAAAAAGCATTTGTTCTTCAGGGGCTGAGAATATTGCCTCCCTGGTCCTCCCAGCTCCTGCCAAGTCAACATGCAGAATCTATGAGAATCCAACTATGAGAATCCAACCCCTGTTTTTCGCATGAGAGTACTGACAACTAGGGAGTGGCTGTTAAACTGATCCAGTTTACAGGGACAGACTACATGCCACTCAGCCTTTCAAAGAACAGAAAACTAATTGTCCAGAATCATTTGGGGAAAAAAAAAGGTTAGTTTCTTCTATAGTTAAAATGACTGCAACCAGAGAACCAGCCTGGCTGATGCAAGTGATTATCTGTTGAATTATTTTAAAAGAAGAGGGAGGGGCTGGAAACTAGGAAGATAATTAATGGTATTTTGCTTGGGAGCTTCTGAAATGTACAAAAAATGGAATAGATAAGACAATGAATGATGTCCAGGAACAGAACTTACCTGTAGCTCATAAACACGGACAAATTTATCTAAGCAAGCAGTCACCATCACCTTCCCTAAGATGTTCACAACAGTTACTGCATGATTATGGCCTTTATAGATTCGTACCAACTCTCCTGTCTGTGCCAAGACAAGGAAGAAAGAACACCCATTAGATCATGAAAACAGATGCAAACAGCAAGTCTGCAGGTTTCTCATTGAAATAATAGTTTGATTATTCATTATATTACAGAAGTGCTTAGGGGATAACAAAGAACAAGGCCCCATTGTATATAGCACCACACAAACAAATCGTAAGACAAATGCCCTATCCCAAAGAGCTTACAATCTAAATAGATACAACAGGAAAAGGGATACAACATACAAGCAGAGTAATAGTATGCAACATCATGTTAGTGCCATGATTATTTGTATTTATTGTTTGTTATTTAAATCCTTTGTTTTTTTGTTTTTGTTTTTTCTTTAATGGAGGGAACTTGTTAAACAGAAAAACAAAAGAAGGGCAGGGGAGACACGAACAGCCAAACACCACAGGAGAAAGAATGTTCAGTGTGAAAACTGCGGAAAGCAGTGTGATGACCTTAGCAGCATCTGACACTCCCTGGTCAAACTGCTTCTGCAACTGCTCTGCTGGCTTCAGTCTCAGGCCAACTCCTCCCTGCAGTTTCTTTTCCCACAGCCACATGGTTGGGAGGGAAAGAGAGAGAACCCTTATTCCTGGGGCAATTCTGTGCCACTGCGGAATGCAGAATTTCTGGCCGCCATTGGACTCTGCAGAGCCCAACTCGCAGTGAGCAAATTGCCCAGCCCTGGTGGGGCTGGAGGCTACACGCTCTTTGATCCTCATTCTTCCGGAAAGGAGAGGGCCTAGGAGACCCAGCCAACTCTGGCAAAAGATGAGGAAGGGCAGGGCCACACACCACGTGCCCTGGCAGGACAGTAAAGAAGTTGGGGGGAGGAAAGGCTCTGGGGGTGCTGGTTTCTGGGCCGGGATCTGCCCCACAGCTGGGGTCCGTGGGGGAGAAGACTGGGACTGGTGTCCGGGGGCTGCCTTGCAGCTGGGCTCTGGCAGGAGGGATATAAGGGCTGAGGGATGCCCTGTGGATATAGGGGCTGAGGGATGCCCTGTGTCTGGACTCTGGGGGGATGCTGGTGTCTGGGCCAGGGGGTGCTCTGCAGCTAGGCTCTGGGGGATGGGAGTGCAGGTGTCTGGGCTCTGGGGTCTCCACCCAGCTGGAACTGGGCTGTTGTAGGGGTTTCTTTAAACTTTCTTTTTTGCTGCTGTCTGTATTGTTGATATATTGTTGATGGGTATTTTGAAATAAATTACCAAAATAATTGAAACTGGAGTGATTATATTGTGTTATTTTGACAAATAAAATATGCAGAATTTTAAAATATTGTGTGTAGAATTGTCAATTTTTGGTGCAGAATTCCCCGAGGAGTAGGCAGCCATATGGGTCCTACTGCCCCCAGATGAGGGTCTCCCCTTCACTGCTCTGGGTCCAAGGGATTCTGGAGGAAGGGATAGTCCCCATCTTTCTCCTGCCCCTTCCAGGCAAGTACAGCAGTACCTATTTAAACTGCCTTTGCAACTGCTGTGCTAACTTTAGTTTTGGGCAAGCTCCTTTTAAAAGTTTTAAATGCTTAGTCATGCCCACCTGATAAATTTAATTGAACATTATATATTTCTCAGGTATGTATCTCACTTAAAAAGTAATTGCAGTAGTTTTTATCTTGCTTATAGAAACCCCAAAAGTGACTTGAAGTTACCAGCGGCGGTTTCCTAGACGTCCTATAGCTTCCTCATTTCCAACCTTCTGCCCCATTTGGTAAAGCATAATTTGTGACAAAGTACACTTGCAACCATATTACCACAACCACTCGGAACTGGTACTTGCCCCCCCCCGAAGTTTAAGAGGCAGAACCAGCAGTTGCTAAACAGAATTAACCACATTACCAGTGGCACCAAATACATCACCAGACTAATTATTCTGTGTCCATCACTTTGCATCATGGCTTTTGGAATTTTTAATTTATCTGTGATATTGTTTCAAAGCAAGGCAGCATTTTCAAAAGAGAGAAGGGAGTAATCCTATTGGTGTGAGTTGGGGATTGGAAGTCAGGATTTCTGATTTCTAGTTCTAGCTCTGCAGTTGACCCATCGACATCTAGTCACACCTCCTGAATAATACAGGACATCAGACTTTCCTGAATTAGTTCCTGTTTGAACTAGAGCACATCTTTTAGAAAAACATCTTATCTTGATTAAAGAATTCCTAGTGATAGAAAACCTACTACAACCCTTGGTAAGTTGTACTAATAGTTAATTACTCACTGCTGAAAATGCATGCCTTACTTTTTAGTCTAAATTCGTCTAACTTCAACTTTCAGCCACTGGATCTTGTAATACAGTTGTTTGCTAAACTGAAGAGCCTTCTGTTCCATATGTAGGTACTTATAGGCTGTGAACAAATCACCCCTTAACCTTCTCTTTGATAAGTTAAATATATTGAACTCCTTGAATCTCTCATTAAAAGGCACATTTTCAAATCCTTTTATCATTCTTGTGGCTCTTTTCTGAACCCTCTCCAATTTTTCAATATCCTAGGAATGAAGGATAATGTTTACAAAGTGCTCTGAGTTCCTCAGATAGAAAGGTGCTATACAACATAGTGTAAGAGTCACCATATCCTCTTAAGCATATGGGCTTCCAAAGAAATTCTCATTGATTTTATCACCTCAACAATAAAAGCTATTCAGGGTTTCAAAGATCTGAATGACTTACATGTATATTGTGGGCGTGGACAGATTGGTCACTGGAGCCACTGAACACCAGATCATTCACAACCTTTTAAAGAGGACAACAGAACAGTTAGTTTTGACTTCTGTATCATTTTTAATATATGAGTGAAACATGTACACACTACTTGAGTAAGGATTTGCTTACTTTAAAGTAGCAATATATTTCACCAAGGGGTATTGACTTCACCAACACTTCCTCCTGTATCCTCGACCCCCTCCAATCTTTTAATCTAGTGTGAAGAACCCCTTAAAAATTAATGATTCAATGTCTAGCTACAACATTAGGAAACACATTAAGCTGCCCAAATGGTAAACGGTGACATTTATGCACTATATATTATACATACACACACGGGATGTCAATTAATCATAGTTAACTCACGATTAACTCAAAAAAATTAATTGCAATTAATCACACTTACAACAATACAATACCAATTGAAATGTATTAAATATTTTTGGACTTTTTTCTACATTTTCAATATTGATTTCAATTACAACACAGAATACAAAATGCACAGTGCTCACTTTATATTATTTTTGATTAAAAATACGTGCACTCTAAAAATGATAAACAAAAGATATAGTATTTTTCAATTCACCTCATACAAGTGCTGAAGTGCAATCTCTTTATTGTGAAAGTGTAACTTACAAATGCAGATTTTTTTTTGGTTACATAACTGCACTCAAAAACAAAACAGTGTAAAACTTTACAGCCTACAAGTCCACTCAGTCCTATGTCTTATTCTGCCAATCGCTCAGACAAACAAGTGTGTTTACTTCTTAGTTACAATGTCACCTGAAAGTGAGAACAAGTGCTCACATGTCACTTTTGTAGCTAGAGTTGCAAGGTATTTACATACCAGATATGCTAAACATTTGTATGCCCCTTCCATTCTTCGGCCACCATTCCAGAAGACATGATTCCATGCTGATGATGATCGTTAAAAAAATAATGTGTTAATTACATTTGTGACTGTACTCCTTGGGGAGAGAATTGTATGTCTCCTGCTCTATTTTACCTGCATTCTGCATATATTTCATGTTATAGCAGTCTCAGATTATGACCCAGCACATGTTCGTTTTAAGAACACTTTCACAGCAGATTTGACAAAACGCAAAGAAGGTACTGGTATGATATTTCTAAAAATATCTACAGCACTCGACCCAAGGTTTAAGAATCTGAAGTGCCGTCCAAAACCGACAAGGTCGGGAGCATGCTTTTAGAAGTCTTAAAAGAGCAACACTCTGATGCGGAAACTATAGAATCCAAATCACAAAAAAGAACCTTCTGCTGGTGGCATCTGACTCAGATGATGAAAATGAACATGCTTCAGTCCGCACTGCTTTGGATCGTTATCAAGCAGAATCCCTCATCAGCATGGAAGCATGTTCTCTGGAATGATGGTTGAAGCATGAAGGGACACATGAATCTTTAGCGCATCTGGCAACGCCAGCTACAACAGTGGCATGCAAACGCCTGTTCTCACTTTCAGGTTACATTGTTAACAAGAAGCAGACAGCATTATCTCCTGCAAATTGTAACCAACCTTGTTTGTCTGAATGATTAGCTGACTAAGAAGTAGGATTGAGTGGACTTGTAGGCTCTAAAATTTTAACACTGTTCTATTTTTGAATGCAGTTTTTTTGGTTCATAATTCTACATTTGTAAGTTCAACTTTCATGATAAAGAGATTGCACTACAGTACTTGTGTGAGGTGAATTGAAAAATACAATTTTTTTGTTTTTTACAGCACAAATATTTGTAATAAAAAATAAATATAAAGTGAGCACTGTACACTTTGTATTGTGTTGTAATTGAAATTAATATATTTGAAAATGTAGTAAACATCCAAAAATATTCAAAATAAATGGTATTCTATTATTCTTTAATTGTGATTAATTTTTTTAATCGTTTGACAGCTCTAATATATACATACATCCAAAACATTGCAATTTGTATTTAAAAAGATTCATCCTACATCCTGGGCAAAGATATAATTGTGTGTGTTTGGGTCAAATAAAATGCTTATTTATCAGCTTTATTTGTAAAATCCATTGTCTTCTTTAGAGGTTAGGGGACCAGCAAAATCTGTTCTGAACAGGACAATAAAACTCACCCAGTACAAGTACTTAAGCTTCAGATTGTTTAAGCAGTAGATAGGCTTCTATGACAATCTGCACCCTTATGTTTACCCCTTTTACAATACTTATAAGTTTTGTAGAAAATATGCTTTATGAGGTGTATCATTTGAAAACTCAATTTGCTGATTATTATTGTCCTGGTAAAATGTGTCTGGCAACACTGTATGTAATGTTATAAGTCTACTGTATGATATTACTGAGACATATTCCAAGTCTGCAAAAAAAGCCACAAATCAGTTCCTCAGAAACAAAAAACAAACCCACACCTCAGCAAGGTGTCAACAAGATCAAATGGACTATCATCTGGTCAAGTGACCATTTTTGGCAGGAAAAAGGAGGAGAGTGAGAAATTTACATCTTGGCAAAGAAACAGCTGAGTCGCCATAGACTTTCTTGGAGATGATTTTCAAAGAAAAAGAAAACTATAAGGGGAACAGACACCCCAAGAGACTCCCCCCTTTCTGTCTGCCCAGGGCATCACCACCACCTGAAGGACAAGGAAAGTAACACTGAACTGGGGGAGGGGTCCTGGCCAAAAGGAATCCAGCCAGAAAGATTGCTGAAGCATGTGGTGAGAGAGATCTTTGCTTTGAATTCATTTAGCTTGTTAAAAAGTAAAATGCAACTAATATCTTACTTTTATGCCTCATTACTTGTAAATCACTTAAAATCCATCTTTCTGTAGTTAATAAACTTGTTTTGTTTTATCTTAAACCGGTGTGCTCAGATTGAAGTGTTTGGGAAACTCCATTTGAGATAAACAGGATTTGTACACATTTTCTATTAATGAAATGGTGGACTTTATATAAGCTTGTATTTTCCACGAGAGTACTAGGCAGTATAAGACGCACATTACTGGGGCAAAGTCTGGGACTGGGAATTTGCTGGTGTTGCTCTGCAGTGCAATTCAGGAGTGCCTGGCTATAGCATTCGTACAATATAACAGAGTAATTTACATGCTGGAGGCTGTGTGTAAACAGACCAGCAGTGGTTGCTCTTACAGCAAAGCAGTGTAACAGGCACCTCAGGTTGGAGACTTGAGGGGACACAGCTGTTCAACAGTCCAGACTGTACCCTGGGTAATGTCACAGCTTCATACCAGACTACCAAGCCCAGAACCATCGAGGCTTTCACCCCTCAATAAGTAGTTAAAATCCAGCTCCAGCTAGTAGCAAGTGAAATGAGTTAGTAATCTCAGTTCAGTTCCTAGGAAACAGATCTCAGTGTTCACAATACCAAAACCATCACACACACACAAATTGACCTGGAATCTCAGAATCCTAGGAATGAACGGGCAGAAGGATTAAACTAGATTTTACCCATTAAAAAAAGTATTCACTTCAGTTCGGGATTAAGACAGTGAGGCTATGTGGGGAAAAATGTGCTTTGCATCTGCAACTCTGCTTTGTGGACACAAGACATGAACACCCTACACTGCTACCTATCTGGCACTTTTTAAGCACACAAAATTAAGCAAAAAAACTTTGAAGACTACATAAATGTGCTCCAATATGCGTGTAGATGGCAGGAGCAAGTTAATGTGAAAAAAGAGCAGATCAGGGCCAGAGCTGGCAAGTAATGCAGAAAACATATGCATCATGCTTTATGTTAGAGTGGGCACATTATTATCGATCATTAAAGGTATGTCTACACAAAGGAAGTCGTGCCACTTTATCTATATACTTAAAGTGATACAGCCCCCTCCTAGGGTGGATGCAGTTATACCAGTACAGCTATTCCCAAACAGAAAAGTCTAAGGCTGCTATTCCCATTCACCAGTCTAAGGCAGCTTTCCACTGGTATATCAGCATCCACATTAGGAGTGGGATTGAATCAATACAACTATTTCCATCACAAAAATCACATTTCTAACCACAGTTAGTTATACCAGTATAAACTGAATATAGAGAAGGCTTTTGGAGGGAGGGGATATGTCTCAAGGGACATTGTGAGTATTTTCTCCATAGAGTTAATCTTTTCAAAATTTCCAGAGTGAATTACAGGCAAAATAGGCAAGAGTTTCCTTTCTTCCTTCTGGCAAGATGATTGTTCCACCGCCCCCTTGGGCTTCTGAAATCAACATCCCTCTTGCATACACTAGTACTATGAAGTGCAATAGCAGCAGCACTAGAAAAGGCATCAATTGTGGTAGCAAGGCCAGCAGAAAGTGCTCAAAGTTGGGGAATCTTTTCACAAATGAATGGATTTTTATTTTTAGTCAAAATACAGATAAAATTTCCTATGGCAGCAATTCTTAACCAGGGGTACAGGGCCGCAAGCAGGTTTCAGGGGGTCTGCCAAAATAAATCAGAGAGCAGGGCCGGCGTTAGACATGCTGGGGTCCAGGGCAGAAAGTCCGAGCACTGCCACCTGGGGCTGAAGCCCAAACCCCACCACCTGGGGCTGAAGTCGAAGCCGAAGCTCGAGCAACTGCGCTTTGCGGGTCCCCCTATGGCATGGGGCCTCAGGCAATAGCCCTGCTTGCTACCCTCCAACGCCGGCCCTGGCTTTAATATTCTGGGTATGCAGAAAAACAGCTGTTGTGGCACACGTGGGGTGCGGAATTTTTATAGCATGTTGGGGGGAGGAGGGGGGCCTCAGAAAGAAAAAGGTTGAGAACCCGTCTATGGGAATATCAAAATGCTAAAGTACCTGAAATATCAGACGGAAGTAAATAGTCTCCTTAACATATAGTGATTACATCATTTGTCAAAAACTGTTACTTCCCAAGGTACTTGCCTTCATACAGAGTATTGTTTTGCTATGACCTTCAAGAGTTCGGAGAAGCAGTCCATTTCGAGCATCCCGCACACTGATGGTACAGTCATAGGACCCCACTACCAACAACTTGCGTGCTCCTTCCTGAGCTGTGGCTAGACAGCTGACTGCTCTAGGGCCATGACATTCAAAGGTATCAATTTGCTTGTTGTTCTGCAAAATAAAGAAGTCAAAAGATTGAAAGGAATGTAGATCACTGAGTCCATCCTTCTTCAAGGATATGATTCCTCAGACTGAAGATATATCTGATATTACTCTTCTACATACCTAAAAAGACAAAAAGGTGCAACTACCACTACTGATGGAATACTGTTTAAGATTAAAATGTAATCTAAAAATCTAAAGCGAATTCTTCGTTCCCTCTGAGAACCCCTAAACAAGTATTCCTAATTTATCATAACTGAGTTTGTTTTGCATTACAAATTCATTTAGCCTCTTTCCAGTGAGCTGCGCTTACAATTTGACCAGTAGAAAGAAATAGTCTTTATTCTTCAGTGGTAGAAGAACAGAATTGCTAGATGAGGTATGTGAACTTAGATATTTCATTATTCATTAAGTACCACATGATTATGAAGTATGTTTCTTCACATTTAGTGTGAAAATAATTTGAGGTTCACTGGCATGATACTTCTGCTCTTGAGCTCTCAGAACAAGCCCTCTTTTTAGATCTCCTTAAAATATGAGCTTATTTTGCTAGGATAGTTTTGAGCAATGAGCCTGGAGTCAATCTAAGCCAGGGGTGGCCAACCTGACCCTCAGAAGGAGCCAGAATTTACCAATGTACCTTGCCAAAGAGCCACAGTAATACATCAACAGCTCCTCCCCCATCAGCTCCCCTCCCCACCCCCCGCTCCCAGCGCCTCCCACCCACCAGCAGCTCCGCCAATCAGCACCTCCCCTTCCCTCCCCGTACCTCCCAATCAGCTGTTTTGTGGCGTGCAGGAGGCTGGGGGGGGGGGTAGGGGGAGGAGCAAGGGCACTGCAGGCTGAGGAGGGGGTGGGAAGGGGTGGAGTGGGGACAGGGCCCTTGGCAGAGCCAGGGGTTGAGCAGTGAGCACCCCCTGGCACATTGGAAAGTTGGCACCTGTAGCTCCAGCCCCGGAGTTGGTGCCTATACAAGGAGCCGCATACTAACTTCTGAAGAGTCGCATGTGGCTCCGGATCTAAGCAAATAATGAGATAAGTTTGTGTTTTTATTTAAAACATTCTGTGGCCTTAAGGTTAGTTTTCTGTTAAACAAGAGGCCTGTTTGGATACCTCTCTCCTAGGTTTGTATCTCGTACACTCTGCAGTGACCCCATTCATGTTTTAGTGAGGAGTCATAGCATACAGAGAAGCAAGTGCCATTAAGCCTTTATCAACCACAAAAGTTCAGTTCCAGGGAACCTTGCGGTAGGCAGGGGAATTCCTGTGAGCACACATGGGGTAGCTGGAAGGAGGTGAAGGGGAGAAAGTTCATCCAGGGACATATAAATCCGAAACAGAAAATGACTTAACTACTATCTTGATATGCAATAGTTATGAATATTCTTGCTATTCAAGAGACAAAATGGAATTGGAAATGGGAGTGGGAAGAAAAGAGAATGATACCTGCTAAAAAACTGTTTCAAAATGGGTTGACATTCCAGTTTTCAAATACACTGACCTTTATGGTGAAAGTGACCACATTGCCATTTGCCAGGCCTGCATACAGGATTCGCCATCTACTATGCAGACAGAGCACCCGGTCTTCCAATTTCAATTGCTCCATGCACTCCCTGGTCTGACAAGAAACAAATACTTACCGCTTTTGTCATTAGTGGAAAAATTGGGAGACTATTTTTAGATAACTGGGAAACATTGAAATGAGTCATTTGTCTTGCCTATGAATTGTGTTGCTTCTCTCCAGTAATGGAAAAGTTCTTCTGCCCATGTGAAGCTCTTGTTCCAAGAGCTCACTCCCACCCCAACTCAACTGGCATTAGCTTAGCACTTCCCCATGGGGGGAGTGACATGAATGATACCCAGCTGGTATTATCTTTCCATATAGATCAGTGACCCAAAACAATTTGTCCATAGGAAGCAGGCATCTACTCCATAATCCTTCAAGGTCAAGAACCACCCTGACTCTCAATTTCAGCAGGACAGACCTTCCTTTCATTGATCCCTGACAGAGGCCACATTAAGCAGCTCTCTTCCAACTTGCTCCTTTGCCTCTGGTATGAGAAGCTCAGCTTCATCCCCTCAGAACACCGTTGACTCCCATGAGAGCTGTATTGCCTATACTCCCAAGTGAAATGCACTTTTCATAGACTACTGAGAAAGTCAGAAAAAAATACAATAAGTTAACTGAGATGTGCACTTCCAAGTGGTTGTCTTCCACCTCAATTACCTCTGCTTACCTCATTTAACTTGCCATTACCCTCTATGCCTGAGCAAAGAGCCTACTGAATTCAAAAACCGGCCAGTAGAATTGGGCAGCACAGTGAAATTGTTCAGGAACCAGCCATTATAAAGTTATTGTAAAACAGATACAGGAACTTTGAAGAATACTGGGTCAGTCATAGAAACAATATATCAGAATTTATCCAAATGCATGATAAATACAATTTATCCCCTTTGACTAGCTCACCTGCACCTAGCCCACTAATTCATCTTTGGCCAGGACTATTAATATTCCAAACATTTAGAATGCCCTCCAGGGAATGTGCAACCTTTCCCTCAATTACATTAGCCAGAAGCCTACAAAAGGTTTGTCCTGGACCACCTGACATCTCACAATTTATTTGGGAAATAAACCTGACGTCAAATAGTATACAGCCCTTCCACAACGTAAGATACTGATCTAACAACTGAAAGCCTGTACAGTTAAGACTCACTGCATCAAAGAACTTGACTTTAAAAAGTAAAAGAATACCAAAAACTGTACCTGTTTTTAAACTCAAACATTTCTAAAGTAGTATCTATAAAATATGTAGCACACAAAATATGATAATGTGGTAATAAGTTTTTATTGGCACTTGTTTGGGATAATTTGAATAACTTACCAGTTACTTTGACCATACCAACTCATACTGTTCAAATCTTGTATCACAACACATACACTGTTTAAACACAGAACTGGGAGTCAGAAGATAACTGAGTTATATTTCTGTTTCTGCCGTTAACTTGATCTGTGACTTTGGGCAGGTCACTTTGTTTCATCATGTGTAGAATAGGGATATCATATAGCTCATGGGGACTTGAAAGATTTGGTTCATTTATATTTGAAAAGCCCCTTGAGATTCTCACACAAAGGTGCAAAGTTTAACTCATTAATATCATGTTTATGAGTACCTTGATATTGTAACAGTTGATTGTGTGGTCACTAGAGCCAGTGTAGAGGGCTGCATTCTTCCCACTTGTTTGAGTAACCAGGAGACAGTTCACTTTGGAAGTGTGTCCTTCAAAGACACCCACACATTTCCTGTTCTAAAAGTAGAACACAAAGTCTGTTAACATGTAGACTACAATATAGGTTAATTTTTCTCCCTCTACCTAATGTTTACACAAACCTACACATACTCTCAGATCCCAGTAAAGCAACAGAATTCTGTGACCCAAGGAACTCTTGATGCTAGCTGGCAGGGGGCACGGGGTGCATAAGGGTTACAGAGATTCCCTGGGTGTGGCAGTTCACCAAAGAATGTCATGTGAGATCCCTACTGAAAGCCTGCATCATACTGATCATCATAATCTTTGCAAAATGTATGTGCAGATAATATATAAGGAGATAACTTCCTATATACACACACACAAAGCCTGGAGGTAAAGGCAGATCACTCAGAGGTGGCATATCTTAAGACAGATTCCTCCAGAAAGGAGGTAGCAGATACTTATATCCCTGCCTGAGCATAGTTAATTGTGCGTCTTACACTGGAAGTATATTTGGATACTGAATCAAATGCTAATGAAGAGAGTGAAGGGACTTCAAGAGAAGAAATTAACAGGAAAAGGTAAACAGCAAGGGAGGGAAACCGGTTTCCCGGTAAAAAAACAAAAAAACAAAAAGGACTGTTCCAATATATGTGTGTGTGCAGAAAGATGCCCTGGCATCCTTCATCTGGGAAGACGAGCTGCCAATGGGTTTGGTCTCATGAAAGGAGAGTCTCAGCCACCCTAGTTGAAAAATGCGGTGACAACAACTTTGGATAAACAGTACCTTATTTAACAAGATGCCCTCTTGTTAAATATGTTTAGGCTCTAGAATTAAGTGTTATGATTTTATTTTATATGTAAACCTTTGGGTCCACTAACCCTACTTGCTTCTTCTCAAATCTCTATTCTTTGTTAAATAAACTTAATTTTTTTATAGTGAAAACAAGAATTAAGTGTGAGGTGTTTAGTGGAACTGTGATCCAGATTGCAACTGGTAAACTGGGGTGTACTATTCCTTTGGGAGCAGAGGATCTGGTAATTATGTGAGGGTCCAGTGATTAACGGGCTGAGGACTGCAGGGCGACACCTAGGGGTTGGAGTAGATCTATTGCTAACCTGCAAAGGGATGGCAGAGTCTGCATCAGCTGAGAAGAGAATGCTTGTGCTGTCTGTGGCTGGAAGAGCTGGGGAGCTGACCTTGACAGGAAAACACAAGGTTTCCTCATGCTCAGGGCAGGTGGTAGCAAGATGCCTCACAACCCCCCCCATACATTTCCTGTTACAGTGGTGTTTATTTCAGCACAAGAAAGATGTAATGAGGGACACCAGATTTTTATCCAGATTTCATAATAAACAATACACTCTTGTAATTCTCTTGTAATTCTAGTCCCACAGAAATCCCAGCACACTTGCACAATCTATACTGTGTAAGTACTGTCAGGCTAAAAAGTCTAGAAAGGCAGCATAGTTCAAAGCAGTGATACTCAACCAGGGGTATGCATACCCCTGGGGGAACACAGAGGTCTTCCAGGGGGTACATCAACTCATCTAGATCAGTGTTTCTCAACCTAGAGGTCACAATCCCCAGGGGGGTTGTAGGATGGGTATAGGAGAGGTTGCAAGTACAGGGCCAGCATTAGGAGGTAGCAAACAGGGCAATTAGCCGGGGCCCCATGCCACAGGGGACCCCGTGAAACTAAGTTACATGCTTGAGCCCCGGGCAGCAGAGCTCAGGCTTCAGACTCCTGAAAGGGGTATAGTAGTTGGGAAAGGTTGAGAACCACTGGTCCAGAGCACCAGGAATCAGGAAACCAAAGGTCTAGTTCAGTGGTCAACAACCGATCGATCGCGATCTCCGGCTTTGCAGTGGGGCTGCCGTTAAGACAGGCTCCCCACCTGCCCCAGCCCGCTCCCAGAAGCGGCCAGGGCGGCCCGGGAAGGGGCAGAGGTCTCCCACAACACACTGCTCCTGCCTGTAAGCACCGCCCCTGCAGCTCCCATTGGCCGTGAATGGGGAGCTGTGGCCAATGGGAGTTGCGAGGGCAGTGCTTGCAGAGAGGGGCAGCATGCAGAGCCACATGCCGCCGCCCCCCTCATTCCCCTCCCAGGGGCCACAGGGGCACGTTGGCCCTTTCCAGGAGTGGCATGGGGCCAAGGTAGGCAGGGAGTCTGCCTTAGTGGCAGCCGCGCTGCACCACAGGCCAGGAGCCGTTGGAGCTAAGTGCTGCCCGGCGGGAGGCCACACCACAACCCCCAGCCCTTAGCCCTCTCCTGGAGCCAGCACCCGAACCCCCTCCTGCACCCCCAAACCCCAGCCCTGACCCCCCTCCCAGAGCTAGCACCCTGTACCGCCTCCTGCACCCCAACACTCTGCCCCAGTCCAGAGCCCCCTCCTGCACCCAAACTCCCTCCCAGAGCTTGCACCCCTCACCCTTTCCTGCACCCCAACCCCCTGCCCCAGGCTCAGCCCAGAGCCCGCACCCCCTCCCAAACCCAACCCCCCTAACTCCAGCCCGGTGAAAGTGCGTGAGGGTGGGGGAGAGCGAGTGACAGGAAGGGGGGGGGGGAAAGAGATGGAATGAGTGGGGCGGGGCTTGGGAAAGGGACAGGGCCTCGGGGAAGGGGTGGGGTAGATCCTAGGTTGCCCTTAAATTCAAAAAGTGATCTTGGGCATAAAAAGGTTGGAGACCACTGGTCTAGTCCCATTCTTGTAAAGCACTTTGGAGATCTATGGATGAAAACAAACTATTATCAAGTATTATTAATTCACTGGATTAAAGAACAAGATCTGAAGATCCTTGGTGGTGTGATTTTACTTTAAAATGTTATGCCTTTTTATGTGTCTGAATGCACTACCTATATAGTTTTGCATCTTTGGCAGTTTTCTTGAACTCTGATTACTTATCATTCATAAGAATTGTGTAATAGCAACAGGACTATATTAAGCTATGGTCAGTCAGTATTTCAGTAGATCTCCCCACTAAAAATATATCCTATAAGAAATGTAAAGAAGGCTTTTTGTTTAAGGTTTGTTGGTTTTGTGGTGGTCACGGTCACAAACTCAGGCCTCTGCGAAAGGATTAGAGACCAATTCTCATTTGGATAATATACCTTCTCCAATCCCAATGGGCAATAGGGAATGACTGAACTTCCTCTAGTCTAGAATGGTACTTGCTAGCTAACTGACATCCTTAAAAAGGCAGTGGAAACCAAGCTTCTCTTTAAAGAGAAAAATATATCAAATTTCTCTTCAATAACATTTTCTACATAAAATCTTTCACCAAGCCTTAATTCTCATGCTGAAAGCAAGCATACAAAAGCCCTAATGGGGTTAGTTTGGACTATTAGAGTTCCCAAACTTTGTGTATAGCAGGGGTCGGCAACCTTTCAGAAGTGGTGTGCCGAGTCTTCATTTATTCACTCTAATTTAAGGTTTCACGTACATTTTAACATTTTTAGAAAGGTCTCTTTCTCTAAGTCTATAATATATAACTAAACTATTGTATGTAAAGTAAATAAGGTTTTTAGAATGTTTAAGAAACTTAATTTCAAATTAAATTAAAATGCAGAGCTCCCCGGATCGGTGGCCAGGACCCAAGCAGTGAGAGTGCCACTGAAAATCAGCTTGCGTGCCGCCTTCGGCACGCGCGCCACAGGTTGCCTATCCCTGGTGTATAGAGTTAAAAAACAAACAAACAAAAAAACCCCACAAGCTATAAATGATTCCTTAAGAAGATTTTTTCTAAACACAAAAAGGGACTAAAGACTGCAAAATATTTATTACTAGTACATTGTCTCCATGATGACCCTACTTACAACCAGATTGTAGGCACGGACACTTTTGTCTGCTGAGCAGGTGTAAAGCACACTCCCAAATATCTGAATAGCATTCACTGCAGCTTGGTGTCCCTCAAAGCTCCCCTCCGTAGGTTCTTCATCCTCACCTGGCTCTGAAGACACTTCTGCAGAATGGAGAGTTATTAAAGCTTGCGTTTTAACAATCTGAATGTTTTATTCACACAAACTTTGCATAAGTAATAAGACTGTCCGTACTATTGACTATCATCACCTTTAGCAAAAATGTCCACAAGTAAAATAAAATCAAAAAATATGTAACAGACCTCTAGCCCTTTAAGAGCAGGGGTGGTCAGCATGCCTGTTATGGGGCCTCAGTCCCTTTAAAGTCAGGGACTAAGAGTTGTAGTTCTCAGGTGGAGCACATGAACGACCAAGGGGTCATGTGACTGCCTAATGAGCTATAAAAGCAGACAGCCTTCTCTCAGTACGAGGTGATGCCCAGAAGGTGCAAGATGTGCTGAGAAATGTCTCCAAAATAGCCCAGAGAAGAGGTCTGGAAATGAAGCTGGAAACAGGGCTTGACCTGGAAAGGCCAGCAGCAGAGAAATCCAGGGCATAGAACAGCTTGCTGGGGAAGCTCATCAGAAGAGAGACAGGAAATAGTTCCCTGTGGGAACAGGAAAAGGAGCTGGGTAGGGAATGGCAAAGGGCTGTTTAAAGAGATTGGGGGAAAGGCCTACACAGACATCTCCAGAAAGACCCTGGAAAGTAGTGGAGCAGAGCAGTCTTGGGCTTAGAGCTGGCCATTCTCCACAATTTAAGGACAGTGGCTGTAGCTCAGGTGAGTGAGCAACATGTGCACTGAAAGGACTAATGGACCCTAAGAAGAAGCTGCAAAGACTACTGAACTCAGGGGAGGGGCAAAATCTGGTATTTACCCCAGCAATCAGGGACATGAACTGGTGAACTCTTATGACCACCGAGGCAGCTGTTTGAACCCTGGGAGGAAGGAGGGCCTTGTATGTATTTTAGCATTTGGACTAGTTTATTCCCAGAAGAGGGACTTTCTACATAGCCAAACAGTTACATTACCCAAGTTACTAAAATTCACCTCACCACCCAAGAGGGGCTGTGGATCAGAAGGGAAACAGGCACAGTGCACCTGATGAGGAATAGGGTAAGTGACCCATGCTGACGATTGTTATGCAGTGTCTTCCACTCTTATTTTGAGCTTAAGTTCTGAAGATCAAAAAGAACAGCAATATTTTGAAAGCACATTTGGACTGTACTTTAACTCAAATTTCCAGAAGATACCCTAAACCCATTTAAAGTAGCAAAGCACACCAATAATATACCTGAGGAGTTCTTTGAACATCTCATTGGTGATCTAGAAGGGAGAGTCTCAGCCATACTGTAAAATAAATAAAAAAAAATAAAAAAAGAGTAGAGGGATTTGACTTTGCTTGTTGGTATTCAGGAAAGCTAGTGAAATGTACTTCAGTAAAGAACTTCAGTGATACTCCAAAATAGGATATTTTATCAGTAGTATTGTAGGGAAAGTATAGGAGTCCTCTGTGGGCTATGAAAGCACTCACTCCTAACAGCCCTATGCAATTTTCCTTTAAAAACAAACAAACAAAGAAGTGAGGTTTTAACTCACGAAAGCTTATGCCCAAATAAATCTGTTAGTCTTTAAGGTGCCACCAGACTCCTTGTTATTTTTGAAACAAAAAAACAGCACTTCTCTCTGAAGGGGGCCTTACTTTAGTTACTGCAGAAGTTAGTATGGAACAGTGCAGGAGTACTGTGGAGAAGAGTTTCAGACGGTTTAACTAGCAGCATGTATAGGCATAAATATTCATCTTTTCTCATTTCAGTGCTGGAAGCCTTGAGGAATGAGATTTGCTCCCACTTCCCCATGTTTTAAGCTTTTCACACAAGGAAAAAAGGGCCATTGAATGAAAATTTTGGAAGACCTTTTTTACGTGAGAAATCTGTCCTGATCTACTATAATCCCACTTTCCACCTTACCTGCTATTGATGCCATCCCTATAATTTGTGCCAATCTCACTGGTGGAGCTCACTTCATCATAACCAGAGCGAGATGCCTCCATTAAAGTTTGCTCCGAGGATTTCATGGTGTCCCTCTTAGATGGGCTGTCTGGTTTCTCATCTCCTGACTCTGATGAGTTGATGGCCACCACCTCAAACTGGGGGTTTGCAGTTTCTACTAATTCCAGAGAGGCATCACTCTCATTATCATCTTTGTTCCTGTCTACTTCATGAGTGCCCCCATCCTCCTGTCTTAGAAGGGTGGATGTAGTAACCTTTCCCCCAGTGGGCACCTTCCCGCTCTTGACTTTCCGAATAGGTTTAGAGTCAATAACATCCTGTTCTGTGTCACTGTTCTCAGGCACATGGGCTGCTCGCAATGTTTTCTTTTTCCTTAGCTTTTTCCTTCTCTTTTTTCCTTTGTTCTCTGCAGAGACCAGAGTGGATTCTGCCGGATGCTCAGGCTGTTCTGCTGGTAGTTTGGGATCTTTGTCCAAAGGTGTTTCTAAAGAGAGAGACTGATTTGCAAGGGAGCTGCTACGCTGTTCTGGTAAAGTGATTTCAGTCACGGTTTCAATCGCTCCTTTTTGTTTGTTGAGAATAGATGGTGATTGTGAAGGGGAAGGGTTCCCAGATACTATGGTCCGCCCCTTATCTGTAGCAGACTTGTGAACATCTTGATTAGTCTGTTGGAAACAAGTAGTCAGCTCTGACAAGGACATGATTGCGGAGATAACTGGATACACAGAAGTTTTCTGGCTGATATCTACTGAAGAAAAGAGATGAACAATGTGTTCACTCTGCAGTAATTAATATTTATGCATAAGAACCCCTTGGTTTATTAATAATGAGCTGGAAGAATTATTACAATCTATTTGAAAATTTACATCCATAACATAGCTGTATGTTTAAAAGTAGAATGTTTTCTTAATACCGAAAGAAGTACGCATACATCTTGCGTTCGTTATGCAAGCCTTGTCTGTTTCTTAATAGCTGATTGGCCTTAATTTGAAATGACACTTTTTAAAAAAGTGTCATTAGCATGTCAAGTGGAATTCACCTTAAGAACAAACTTACCCGGAAGCAAAGTGCACTTGCAACAGCAAGTGGGCTCTAATATTTTTAGATACCTGGTGGGGTAGGGATGCATAAAACTGTACCTTACTCATACTCCCTTAAAGTATCGTTTGTCTGGTAAAATCAAAAATGGTACAGTGTCTATACCTAGGCTAGTAGCCCTTGCTGCTGGAAGACCACCAAACTGAAGTCTGTCCTCTCAAACATCGCTCACCCTTACCAACAGGAATATTAATTGTGGTACTCCACACAATGTCCTGGAGAAATTCTCTCTAAAAAGGGGGCCCTAACCCTTTTATGCGACATGCAGCACATAAATTTAAATTCTGAAGGGCTGTACACTGAGGATATGGCAATATATACGTTATGGGATCGTTCTATCACCAAAAAGGGACTGTAGTCACAGGATTTGCTGTTTGGGCTCCCCCCATTCAGGCTGAACCTGTGCAGTACATATGTAAAAATGTTAAAGCTAATGTTAAAAAAATATATAACCCATAGGTTGGGAAAAGAGTGCCTGTACATCTGGGTATGGTGCTTAGATTATCCACGAATAAAAAGTTAGTTTTTTAAAAGTCATATGATACATAGAGTATATAATCAGCAACAACCCAAATTTAGGTGAATAGATTTAACAATACAGTTTAGATATTAGAATCCGAATACTCGGGTACATCACTCAAGAAAGGTTGTACAGAGATTTGGTTGTGGAAAGCAAAATATATCAATGAGTGTAGACCGTCCCTCAGTAACTGAGAATTAGGTTGGTTGTCCATTTAGAAAATACAATCCATGAGGAAAGTATTTGTTACTTTCCTGACTGCGCTTCTCATTGAGTACACACTCATTCAGCCAGGTATGCTGAATTGGCTTCTGTGGCAGAGGCATTATCTCTGTGTAATAAAGGACAAGTACTGGCTGGTGTAATATGTTCAGACTCTCAAGGGATCAGATGCCTTGACAACATACCTCCCTTGGTGGAATATGAATTAATTTTGTAGTACGCAAAGCACAAGTCTGTATGCTATCAAGCCCTTTTGTCCTATGTATATACGGAAATTAGTAGATAAATTGGATAACTCAGTGATAGATGTGGTTAAGATAAAAGCTCATTCCAGATATGGGGAATTGAGCAAGAAAAATAAGAGTGGATGAAGCTGCTGCTAGTGAGGCTCCAGTAGGGGTCCTGTCCCCTGATTATGCAGTCCTTGCTATAACCACCTGAGCACAAGCAGAAAACACTGAATATATCACCTGGTTCAGATGAAACAGAGGCCACTATGGATAGAAACTTTGGGTGTGGTTGGAAAGTTACCTTGTCTTTGGAGAACTGCATTTAAGGTGGCCCTGCCATCAGAGCCTGCAACTCTCTCACCCTCCTTGCAGGCATAATGGCAACCAGGAACTCAGTTTTCTGAAACAAGAGGCCCAGTGGACAGGATGCTAGGGTCCCGAATGGAGGGCCCATTAGAGCCACCAAAACAGTGTTTAAGTCCCACAAGGGGACTGGTTCTTGCACCGGAAGGAATAAACAGAGAAGCCCTTTCTAGGTATCTCATGACCATAGCGTTGGCGAAGAGCAATTTCCCCTGAATAGGGAGATGAAACTCTGATACTGTGGCCAGATACACTCCGTCAACTGAGTGTAAGCCCAAATTTCTGGAGGCGTAGCAGGTACTCCAAGATGTCCTGAATAGAAGTCCACGTTGGTTGGAGTCCTCAGGATAAGGACCACACCAAAAACCGCTTTCACTTAGCTAAGTAGGCTATCCTGTGAGAGGATTTGCTACTGATGAATAGGACTTCTTGGTCAGCTGCTGGACACCGCTCTTCTTCATTCAACCAAGCAGCAGCCATGCTGCGAGATGCAGGGAGTTGAGCATTGGAGGGCAAGTGCAGTCGTGGTTCTGAGTGAGCAGGTTGCGATGAGGAGGAAGTGGTATGAGAGGCTGAATCGATAGCGCGAGAAGGTGGGAGAAACAACATTGTCTCAGACATGCCAGGGCTATGAGGATAAGCTTGGCCTCATCAGCCTTGGGCTTCAGGATAACCTGGGGAATGGACTAGGATTGGGGGAAAGATGTACAGAAGAGTCGACTGCCAGCTGCACTATAAGGTGTCAGAGAGGGAGCCCCCTGAGCAGATCACACAACATTTCCTGTTTTCGCTTGTGGCAAACTTTTCAATTGTGGGAATGTCCTACACGGCGAAGATGACCTGGAAGACACTCATCTTCAGGTGCCACTCATGACTCAGTGAAAAGTACTGGGTCCATGAGATGATTCTGCACTCCACGGAAGTGGACATCTATCAGAGTAATGTCCTCCTTGATGTAAAATTGCCACAGATTGATTGTCTCTAGGCAGAGCAACCTGAAACATGCTCCCCCTGCTAGTTTACGTAATACATCATGTTGGTATTGTCGGTGAGTATGGGGCCTCAAGACCTGGAGTGATCTCAATTGGTCTTATGTGACCTTTTCCTTGGTGCAGTTGACGAGGAATGGCTCCTCAACCTCTTTGGAGGTGTGCCTGTTCCCAAAAGGGAAGTGGCTGCACTCAGAGCAAGAGGGTGATCGTTGGCTGGATGAGGACATTGGTACCAGATCAGGCCACATGGCCTGTTTGAGCAGATGCTTCTTGAGGTGAAGGTCCTGGGCCACCTCAGTCCTTTTCTTGAATGATCTACAGATTGAACTATGCTCTCTGAGGTGGGCCTCACCAAGACAAAGCAGGCACCGTATGTGGGGACTTTGCTCAGGGTCGTTCCCCCACCCAAAAGACAGTGTTTGAACCCCAGTGAGGGCATCACCAGGGGAAAAGCTACTAAAACGAACATGAACACTAAACTACTAACACTAATACAAACTATATACAATAAAAAAAATCAGGCTAAGACTGAACTACACAGAGCTCCAACTCCACCCACAGGCGGTGAGAAGGCACTGAGGAGGGTTGGGGAAGTGCTGCCTCATATCAACAGGGGAGGGGCCAGAGCCATGGGTGCTGCCCCTCTACGGGTACTGCTAGGCAAAATATCTGACTCAGGTGTGTGCATGCCCAGCGCACTGAAGTGTTTCTTCAGGTAGATGCAGACATGTATTTCAATGTCACTGGATATCACATACAATTCTGCAATTGTTTATTTATTTTTATTTTATTTATATTTTATCTAAGTGGCCTGACAACAAGTGAAAACATGGTGACTGTGAATCCCTATTTAAGGAATATATATAGGCTAGGCATGAGGGGCATTATACATTTTGTGTTTGATTAAATTTTACAAGAAATGGGCATATCAATATGTACCCTTTTGGAAATCAAGGAGGGTAGGAATAAGGGTGGCACAAATACCACATATAGAGAAGGAAACGCCAGAATGCTCCAGGGTGGAGGCAGACCCCAGGAAATTAAGCAGTATTAAGGCCCCTCAAAGAAGTGTTGTACAATGATGTTCAGTTTATTTATGTGCCAATGATACTGCACGTACTGCAGTTATCTAATGGACTGTGCCCACCGGAGTTTGATGGCATATGGTTAAGAACTGTTGAAAGGACTTTCTGGTTAAAAGTGTATTAAAATGCATAAGCCTGCCAAGGTGGGGCAGCAATGAAACACGAAGCAGCTCCGGAGAAAAGGCCTGGGATATAAGCTGTCTGGGACTGGTATGTCACTCTGAAACCAAACTGAGAGAGATGTTTTGGGAACACGACCAAGCATTTAAAAAGAAGCTTGCAGCAAATGTACCTCATTCAGTGGATGCACAATACCAAGGACTCATTAGAGAAACTTTCTTCATGGTATATAATATACACATAATTGCTTTTAAAGGAAGTATGGGATTGTCAATGTGTTCTAATGATAACATGGGCAGTATGTGGGGGATACCTGCTATATAAAGTAAATGCAGCCTTAAGTGATATGGAGCATGAAAACTTGCCCTTTTATCACCACAGAAAAAAGTTAAATTTGATACATACAAGAAAGGTGATATCAGTTGGTGCATGGTAAGAAAGTTAACAAGGGTCCAATATCATGAAGTTAAATGTGAAACCACTGCAGGCTGTATGGTGTAAAAGGAGTTTGTTTTCCCTCCTCAAATACAGTTGCAAGACAATGACAAGATCTGAAAAGCCCCAGACTTGTACTACTGTTTAAGGGATACACTTACATGTGTAGGTTTAATGTCTCACAGTCAGAATTGCTGGCATGGGGGCTTACAAGGGGGGGAACTGTCTATAAATTGCGCAGTACAGTTGAGATGTGGAAATCTGATAAAGTAAAAACTATCTATACTGAGAATATATTGTGTGATGGGTGAAGGGGACCACATCCGGTATGGACCCAGGGAATGTTATTTTAATTGCCCTATGTGCTGTTTCACACCTGAATTTCATGTGATAAATAAAAACATATCCACTGCCAGTTTTTTCATAATGTAACTGAAATATAGGCAAAGTTAAAATTGCAGAAGGATGCTTTAAAGACAGTACCTGAGTTTGGACATTCCATTCCTTCTTTAAGCTTGGCTCTTAAAAGTTTAGTGGCCAGAACCTCTGAACACCTTGTTGAAATGCAACAACAAAACAGGAAAGTAACGGAATTGGCTAGCCCCTCCTGGGCGGAACAAGCATTCAATGTGTGATTATATCCATGGTAGCAACTATCATTCCAATTTTGTTCATTTATCAATGTAATTTAAACGCTTAATATAGTAAAACCTATATAGGTGTGCAGGTTTTAAGTTGGGGAATGTAGGGATAATTATGAAATTTAATTAACCATACTTATGCTAAGAAAATAATATATATTTTGTTTGTGACTGGTACAGAGAAGGGCACAATCAGCAAGTAAAAGAAGGCTATGAGAATAAGTAATATTACTTAGTGTTGGGAAAATGTATGGTTCAAAAAGTAACTCATCAAATGAAAAGCTGCAGTAACAAGACAAAGAAAAACTGTCTCAAAGAAAAACAAAAACCTTCCCACTGTTCTCTGTTGGTAAGCAAAGAGGGGGAGGCGATGAGGAAGGAAAATAACAAGGATAAACTGCTTCAAACTGGGTTTTTGCTAAAGCTAACAAGGTAGCTGAATGGTAGAGAGAACCTTCAGATTCATGGTTCTTTGTCAGACCCTATTTGATCATGCTGGAGCACACCAGGATGAGACAGTTTTCCCCAGGTCTGGCCTATCTGTAAGAATACTGATCATATGCTCATGAATACTTTGTTATTGTATTGTGTGTAGTGACTGCTTATTTTTAGAGCAACTGTATAAAATACCATTTGACCTTTGGATTTAATAAAGGAATTTATGGTTAAATCAGAGTCTGCTAGTCTCCCATATTAATAATGTCAAATACACTATTAATTCCAACAATCCCTATTCATGCCACATGGGACAGGCTCTTGACAGAAAGGAGATGCTAACAGTACAAAAATATTTCTCTTTAGAAATCTCTTGGAAAAAGGTGAGTTAAAGCTTCTGCAACCTTCCTGAAAAGTTGATAGTTTTCAGTCAGACACAAGAGGGTACACATCTGATTCTCTGGGATGACCCTTTAAATTATTCTACTTTAAATGTGCTCCAATTGGCCATCCCAGGCTTTCTAATTTTATAATTAAGGCTTCCCTTCAGGCAACTGCTGAGAAGAGAGCATATTTATCAAAATTAATGAAAAGCTATTTTTCTGAGCAATTTAAGTTATTTTTGACCACTGCCGATATACACATGGATGCTCTTAGATCCACAGTTAGGCAGAACAAACAAATATTTAAACAAGCTTAAACCATATCAAATTAGAACATTGGGATGGCAGGAATGCATGCAAACGGTTAAATTCACATCCTAGATATAACTGGTAGAAGCTAAGGTGCCTACTCCCATTCAACCACCCCAGTGGGGAAAAAACCTCAGCTGGTTTTATCAGTGTTCTGATTCCTGCCATTTTTTTTTAACCTTTTGTCACTACATATTTAACATCATTGAAAGGTTTTTTTGTTTTTTTAAACAGAAACAGTTTTCTAATTTACACTGTGAATAAAAAACTAGCTATTTTAAAATGGGGCTTGATGAAATCAAGGTACTTGCTATCCCTATTAGGAAAATACAGGTGTTAGAGAACTTCCTAAAGAGGAGGTGAAGGGAGGTTGGAGAGACGCGCATAGCTGAGTGGAATCAACTCAACTCATCTGCATGTTAAAGAGACAAGGATGTGGAGCTGAATTTTGGGGGAATTTGGAATGCTAGATATAAATCTATGGAAAGTGGGCAAGATATCCACTGGCGAATCTCTATAAAATGGATTAGCTCATTGCATTTTTGCCAGTGTTAAATTCACGAGGTGGCCGTTGCTCATTTTAAGAGTGTGTGCGCGCGTGTGTGTGAGAGTGTGTGTGTGCGTGTGAGTAAGAAAGAGAGAGAGAGAGAGAGAGAGAGAGAGAGATCTGAAAACTAATCAATATTGCAAACAGAAATTAATTTGGACTCTCAAATACCAACCCACAGTTTAGACTTAATGTACCAAAAAAGAAAGTAGTAGGAAGCATACAACTGAATGGACTGAAGTTATGAAAACAATTCTTCTAAAGTTAAATGTAAGCATTGCAACGAGTCAAGTAGCAAGATTCATGCTCATCTCAAAATGTAGAAAATTAGTTTAATCCAATTCTTTAACTTGAATTGTGCCACTAAACAAGTCATTGAAGCTCATAATAAGAGCACTGAGTTTGAAGATTCTGCAAGAGAGACATTATGCCATTGCAGCCACAGTAATCACTTAAGTCTCTGTTCCATACCCTCCAGCAGCTCCTCAACATTAGCTTCATGCAGGAGCAGTCCTCTGTTCATCTTTGATGCCCCCCAAAATGACAAAAATCACTAACTGCTTAAGCCATTAAAAATGGAAAGGCAAATACTTAACTTGGTAAGGCAGTTGGCACCCTTGTTTTAGGCTGAACACCACATTCAGGATAAAACAATATAAGCAATTTAAAGTAACGATTGCAATACTTTGCCTTGGATACATTTTTTCTATCTATCTTTAGACCTACATGTTCCCTACTAGATGCTAGAATTGAAAAAGGAAAAGGAAAGTATAATGAATTAAATATATCCACATTAATGCAACATAGTTGAATATAAGAAATTTAATAGCTACAAGAATCCATACTAGGAAAAAATAATCTGAAAGTGCAAAAAAATTAGACCATGGACTTTTCTGTTTTATATACAAAACTGTAAGCTTTACTTTGGACAACGTATGGTTTATGTTTGAGAAATAAATATGGTTATGAAGTAAACATAGAGTATGTTTAATTTAACAAAAAAACCTTGTGTTTTTTCTCTCTCTTTCTTTCACTGATATTTCCCTAGGTTGGGAGAAGAAAGGTCAAACACTGGTTCAGTGTGTGTTTCACCCCAGCCTAGCCCAGGTAGATACTGAGGGTAAGATTTGCAGAAAAGTGCCTACATTTCATTGGGGAAAAACAAAATGAGTGGGATTTTGGTTCCTTTGGTTTAAATTCTTTTCAAAAGTAAACTGGAGCTCAGGAGCTTTTATGCATCTATTTTGTTTTAAAAACTTTAAAAACAATTTATCACAGTAATTCCAGCTACACTCCAGATTTCAATTTCACAAACATGACCTTTATCCTGCTAGCACTTAAACACTTGCTTAACTTTACTCAATTTAGTAGTCCCATTCATTTCAATGAGATCACTCACACAAGTAAAATTAAGCATATATGTTGGCAGGATAAAGGCTATATAGAGAATAATGAAAATAATTTAATACCACTCACGGTAATTCAGATTTCAAGCAATGGAAAGAGGGTAGTATTAATGATGTGATCTCTGAATCTAGTTATTAAATCCCACTTGCAACTCAAGAGTAATAGAGGATTTTTTGTTTTTTAATCCCATTTGAACCCATCCAGAAAGCCCAGAAGATCCTTAATTTAGTTTGGCCAAAAGTGTGTTTAAATCTCTTGCTTAAGCACTTTTTGCCTTGTGTAGGTGGCTACCAGTGCTGTACTGCTTCCAGTTACAATATGGACTAGAAGCAAATACAATCTCACTAGCCACCATATTATATATGCACACACCATTTTTAAGAGACTGTTGCATGCAAATCCTGGCCTTTTATTTTTTTCTTTTGAAGCAAAAGTATAAGCCTTTAGTTTTAGAAGCTGTGATATGCATTTAAACCAATCAATAAAATTAAAAAGGGGTAACTTAAGTCTGTTACAAATTAAGGCCCCAATTCTGCAAGATGATTACTGTGGCTGAAGTCAATGGGGGTTCACCCATGCAGAGTAGCTTACAGGTTTGAAGCCTAAATAACTTTTACTCTTTCAACAAAGTGGTTTTCCACATTCTCACAAAGCTAGTCTTTAAAAGGAAGATAAACCAACATACCATCCTTCTGCTGCAGTTCTGCTTGTGGAGTGCACACAGAGCCATGGAGGACTGTATTCACACTTTCTTCTCCACGCTCTGGAGACATAGGTTCTTGTTTAATTTGCATTGATGAATCAGGAACAATGCTGGCTGTGATAGTACTAGGGGTTTGGAACACAGGTGGGGTGCTCACTCGGAGAGAGGCTCCCAAGGGAGTACCAGAAGGGGATGTGTGGGAGGAGAGACATGAAGAAGTCTCCAAAAGGGGGAAGAAGTGACCTGAAGGAGGAAGAGCTAGATCAGCTGTTGTCATGGATCTGCCAATTCTTCTTTCATCTGAGATGCTGCAGGTGAGCTGTTCTGACCTCTCAGGAGGTTCATAGGTTTCTAGAGAAAGAAGGAGCAAATGCCCATACATCAACTGTTTCGGGAAGTTTGGTTTTAACAGCTCAAGAGGAAATAAATGAAAACAAGAAGGAAAAAAATTCAATCAAGAGTTTACTGGGCCCACTACATGACACTCTTGAAAAGCCATCCAATCTGAATAGTAGAAAGCTTTACAGTGCAACACAGGAATGGCCTAACAAAACTGGACATGAGAAGCTTACTAAGTTGTACCAACCTATCCTGAACTTTCATGAGCAAATTCGAAGTTAAACTGAATACAAGATCAGCACACAAGCTTAAGCTTACAGAATACAGGTCAGAATGCTAGCACTGCAACATTGTTAAATCTCAGTACCTTGTAGCCCCTGCAGGATCTGAATTCTCTGACTCCTCAATGCGCTCATCTCCATTGTTATCTGTGGGGGGAAGGGGGGACGGGGAGAAAGTGATTCAATCAGCCCTATCAAGCACAACTGAAGGCTGTTAATTTCTAGTTCAGACAGCACAAAAAGCCTGCAGTTACCTGCTGTTTCAATACAAGGAATCGTTGAACTTCAACATAGGCTGCCTGCAGAGCAGCCCGAGCCTGCAAGAGGCGGTCATCCACACAATGCAGTGACTTGTTCAACTCTTCTTCTCTCAGGGAAATAGACAACAACTGGTCTACCTGAGAACGCTCTGTAAGAGAAATAAGCACAATTTAGAGTGCAGCTCATGTTTTACAATTCATTTTAACAGGTCACTTTTGTGGAGACATCTTCGTAGACTTTTTTGTATCACAGTATTAAGCAATGAACTCAATAAATCTCATATGATGAGTTGGAAGTGTCAGTCAGTACTCCAATAGGAGGGGAAGCAGGATTCGAAGAACAGAGAGACCATCAACAGGCTGCAGGAGAATGCAACAGAAGGGGCATTTTTGGCCCTATTTCCCTGGAATTTTTCTGGGAGGAAGTCTTATTTGTCCTCCAGGTCTCCGCAACAGGGAACAAAGCAGATGCTTCACTAGACAGGCATCAGCTGCATCTGCTTCTTAGCAAGACGGACGAAGTGGGGAAGTCTGACTATATATCAGCATGAAGATGATGATGAACTGGATCCAAAAATCCTGTAATCAGAATTGGCTACCATCTCCCTGACATGACGACAAAAAAAAAAAAAAGAAGCACCCATTTAGCCATATGGGCAGCAGCCATATCATGGAAACTGACTATCTTTTGAGGAATGCAGGACGGTGAGAAGAACAACATTTCTTGCTGGTAGGCTACGATCATTATTATCCATTTGATGAAATCAACATTCTTTACAAACAATTTGGTCTCAACACTCATGCAAGGAAAGTCTCATCTGCTTCTTACAGTTGAGAAAATTGTGGCAAAGAAAAATTAAGTGATATGTCCCAAAAATCAAAGAAAACGTGCAGGACCAGGAATAGAACTCTGATATCCTGACTCCAAGTCATATGCCTTAACAAAGCCATCCGTCCTCTCAGTGAAATGGAAAATGTCATTCAGGTGTTAGAACAAGATTCCAAAGGAACAGAAAAATGTTTTACAAAAATACTTCTTAATTTTGCTTTTGCTAGCACTCAGCCCAGTAACACTTACTTCATTACACATTATATACAAAGGAAATATCAGAAAAGCTTCAAAAGTAGATTATAGCTCACATTTTAAGATTGTGTGAGAGCAAGAACAGACTAAGGAAGCCATTTTACACAATGAGGTGGAGTAGAACAAGAATACTCTCACTTTCTTGCTCTGCTCCCAACATTACCTACCTGTCAATATCCAGTTACAGCTTGGCTGACATCTTCACAGACACCCTTTTGTATGCCTTTAGTGAGCACAATGTCCCACTCAGCCACAGAACTGCAGTGTTCATGTAGGATAAGCAGAGTATCACAAGCCTTGCAGTGTTCAGCCATGACACTGGGGGAGAGGAGGAGGGGGAAGTGCAAACCGAAAATCACAATGAAGGGGAGAGAAGCCTCAAACCAACTTTTGTTAACAACCAATTGTTATCAAGGCAGCATTGGCATATATTCATAACCTCTTCATGCTGTGTCCTCCCACACACACCTGGTATCACTGACCTTTTTTGCCTTTAATTTTCCTTCTTTTATTCTTTGTTTCTAGACTTGGGATTTCAGGAGATGATCCCTCCTAAAAGTTATAAATAGAAAAGTTCATTCATTAAAGTTAGAACAATACAATTAAAAAGCTTAAGTCTACATCCTACAAATGTCTAGGGCTACAATAAGAATTTAAATATCTACCATGTCTTTCCCAGGCAAGTCTAGATTATAGCCAGAGGAGAGAACATATGCAGATGAATTTTGTTATAACACCATTCACTCATACTTTATTGCCTCTCCTCTCAAAAGAGAGAGGAGCTAAAAATAAATTTCCTGCTTCCACCGGAGACAATGAAATACTACAGCAGACAGCACTCTAGGTACTCAGGTGCCAAGTCGATCAAGTAGACTTGGCCAAGATGTTCTCCTTCATGTCTGTCTAATGTTGTTTACTGTGATAAGACCACGCATGGGGAAATAAGACCAGTTATAATCTAGAAAGGGATAAATACCATGCTAAATAAAGTTTCAAATGAAAAAGGGACATACACAAAGAGTCATTAGGCCCAACACAGACAAGATTACTGGAGCATACGGTAAAAAAAATAAAAATTTCCAGGTATTTTTTCTTCCACTGCATAATTTTAAAGACAACCATTACTGCAAAAGTGTATTTCTCTTTTTAATGTTCAGCCACAAAACCAGGCATTACCAAAAAACCAATTGTTCCATGGTTGCTTAACATTCCTAGTAGGTCCTGAAACATGATCAGCATTCTATTGAAGACACTCATTTCCAGAGGCAGGAGGCCAAGTCTAGAAGTTCTGGGCAGTGGCAGTTTTCTATTCTTTAAACCACAGGAAATCTTAAAAAGAGCTAGAAATATCATGAAGGCATCTTTCATCCACCTTGTCTAATTTTTTTTTTAAGTCAGTTAAAACACACTCTGAATCTAAGAGGACAAAAAATATTTGCAATTATATAGTACTGGATATCTATCCTGGGTCAAACCACCACAAAGGTCCTGTGAACACAATCCTTTCAGTAGAGATACTGTACAGAAGGGAAACCAAGATATGCCAAGAATCAGTGTGTTTGTCCTGGCCAATATTAGAGTTTGCCTACAAATATACAGTAACTCCTTGCTTAACCTTATAGTTATGTTCCTGAAAAATGGTACTTTAAGTGAAATGATGTTAAGCAAATCCAATTTCCCCATAAGAATTAATGTAAATTGGAAGTGGAGGGGGGGGGGGGGGCGCGTTCGTTTCCAGGGGAAAAAATTTTGCCCGTAGTGGGGTCGGGGTGCAAGGGCTTGCCCCGCTTCACCTGACCAGTGCTCCTGCCGGAGAGTGGGGTCGGGGCATGGGGGCTGCCCTGCTCCGTCCGCCGGCGTTTCAGCTGGGGAGCGGGGTCGGGGCATGGGGACTTACCCCGTTCCGCCCTCCCAGCGCTCATGTCGGCTGGAATGCTGGGTGGGCAGAATGGGGTAAACCCACACGCCCTGACCCCGCTCTTGGCAGCAATCCCAGGGCGACTGGAGCAACTGCAGGCCCCCCCGGGGCTCCCTCCCAAAACCAGCAGTGGCCGAGCAGCAGTGGGTTCCCCCCCACACCCCCCCGGAAGTGCCCCCTCTTAAGATTCAATCAGGGGTATTTATGGTACAAGTCATCGACAGGTCATGAGCCATGATTTTTTGTTTCTTGCCTGTGACCTGTCCATGACTTTTATTAAAAATACCAGTGATTAAATCCTAATCTTAATGACAACCAACAAGAGAAACATTTCTATTGCTAATATCCTGAAGATATGCAGAACTACACTTACTCCAGTTGCTCTTCTTTTCTTTCCAATTCCCTGGCTGTCATTCTGCTCAGTACCAGATGTACAACTGCTGTCTGTAGCTGCATCTACAGAGTTTGATCCTGCATGCACTGAAGCTCCATTTGAAGCCAAAATGTTTCCCTCTCCTGTGAGCTCTAATGCATTTTTGTTTTCAAGAAATGGTATTCTACATTCTGGGCTCTCCTTATCTTGTTTAGTGGTAAATACTGTGAGGCTTGTAACATCAGAGGGCATATGTAGGCTGTGTCTCCTTCCGTTGATAAGAGTTTCAGTTCTTTCAGACATGAATGGTGATGAAGGGAGAGAGGATGTCTCTTGTTTGAAGTCGGCCACATTATCAGCACTTGTTTTATATATAGGTGCTATAAAATGTGAATGGCAGGCTGGAATGATTTGCTTTTGCTCACTTTCCTTTGTTGTGGCTTGGTCACTGAAGAATCCATAAACAGAAGCAGTCCTGTCCACAACAACACTGCTTTCGGAGAGGCTGCGTTTCCTAGCTGATCCAGATACTGCAATGGAAATCCCTTCCCATTGGAATCCTTCTAGGCTGGACAGCTCAGGTTCTTCACCCAAATCAAGACCTTCCTGTTCGTTCTGAACAAGGGGTACCATCTCTATGCCAAACCTAAAAACAAACAAAAAACATTGCAAATGTATAAGAGCAGAAGACAGGCACTGAAAGAAATCTAGGGGGAGAAAAAAATCTGTTTTAAATATATAGCCAGGTATACACTGATGGACTAAAAGATGACAACACTAGTGTTGTTCTGCCTTTTGTGTAATCTAAAAAGGAAGGATCCTAGCTGCATAACTTCATTATTGAGCTAGTGCTTAGCCATGACATTATTTTCAAACACAAAAGCAGGATTTTCATTAGCTCTAGGGTGAAGTGAAGATCAATTTGGCCCTCTTAGTTTGATGTCAGAAACCTGTACAGAAGTTCTTGTCGAAGTTGTAATGCAGCACGCTACCCTCTTACACAGGGTAGATCTGAACAGAATTTTAAAACAGATAAGTAAACCTATTATAATTTTCAGACACTCATTACAGAATTACTTGCTTCTAAGACTGATGAGACAATAAGATGTTGCATTTACAAGATAGACTGAAAATACTTGTCTTCACATTAAGTTTAAAGGCAGTTTCAATGTATACGATATTGAGACTCACTATCTAGATTTTTTTTTTAAATGTACAAATTGCTAATAATTAAAAAAAATAGAATTACTACAGCAAGGGATGCATTCAACTTGCCCGTGATGATGAAAGTACTTCTCAGTATTTGATCTCATGCAAAAAAAAATCAAGTAATGGTCTTGCAATATATTTAAAGTATTGTTCATATTATACCTATACATGTTTGTAGTTAACAGAACTTTAAAATACAATCTAATGTTACCAGTGTCATATGTATTGAATTGTTAGTCACAAACTATGATCAGAATCAACTTCTTGCTTGAAGTAGCAGGAAAGTGTGTGCGCATGTGTGTCTTTATAGACAGACACAAATATGGTATGGTAGAATTCATCTCTGCAGTTCTTCAAATGGTAGTCTTTAGAGTCTAGTGATTCAGATATAACAAGATCCATGTTTGAAAGTTAAAAGGTTACAAACCTTGGTAAACCCTTGCCAAGCTCCTGTTTCTTCTTTGTTACTTGCTGGATGACCTGTTCCCAGTTTATGTTTCTTCGGGATGCACTAAGAATCTGCCTCAGGGTTGGTTTAAGTCCAGACTCCTTCTCAGTCTCATTCTTTCGATGACCACTAACATTTCGAATACGTCGTGCATTGTTGAGGTTGGGCTCAGGAAGATGTGCCCCAACTTTACTCTTCAAACTGATATGTCGTGTCAGATCTCTTTGGAGGGAAGCAGGGAGGCCAAGTTTACTTAATTCAGGAAGAAGAGGGCCTGAAGGTTGGCCACCACCTCCTTTTTGCAGTTCATGATCTAAACTGTTTTCAAAGCCTTCCATATCAAAATGATGATTTGATTTGATAGGATCTTCACCTTTCCCTTCCTGAGAGGTTTTCAGCTCATCACTTAAATTGTTTTGAAGGCTTGATGGGTTCACTGACTCCATTTGAAATTCAGAATCTTTTTGCTTCTCAGTTATAATACTTGAATCGGGAAGTTTGCCTGATGCTTCTGTGTCACCTTCCTTTCTGGTGGTAACATGTTCACACTCCTGAGGGTCACACGGTGAACAAGTATTAATAAAAGGACGTAGCTTTTCAACCCTTGCTTCAGCCTTTTCACACTCTTCACTTACATCCTCTAATGTATCAACTCTAAGCTCATTAGTCTTTGAAGAACCTTTCCTGGGTTCCTCTATATTCCGACCACCATTTAGATCACTCTCTGTATCTCTATATGAACTTAAGTAAGGATTTTGCAGAGAAAGATTGGATTGCAACTCTTCTTTGGCTTTTCGTAGTTCTTCACTTAGGCTATCAATAGGCTGTCTCTGACTTCTGTCAAGCACATCTCTGCTACTTCTTAAGCTACAAGCACTGCGCAACTTGGATACATAAGAAGAGGAACGGTTAGTTTCTAAGTTTAGTGCATTCGAATGGTTCTGGAGTTCTCCAGGGGATGAGGATAATAGAAGCTTGACATTTTTCAAGAGATCCTTTGGATCTTGCTTTTGGGAAGATAACTTCATATCTGGAATAACCAGGAGAGGGGATTTCAGTGATGGCATCCTGTTACTTCTGCCCTCCTCTTGGTCAGGTCTTCCTCCACTGGGGCAGTCTGCATTCACCTTGCAAGATTCATGTTGGTCAGCAGTGGCCTTGTAACAGGGGTGGTTTAAAAGGGTCTCTTCCCACGTTATCAGTTTTGGGAGGCTTGTTGCATCTATTTCAAGATCCATCCCTTTCATGGGTGTCTCGAGAAAAGGTAGAGATACAGAATCTTTTTTCTCTGAAGTTTTAGGAACATTCTCTTCAGACCATGGCTGCTGGTCTGTAGCTTTCTGGGAGGGGTAAGGAGTCCAGCGATGAATTTTATCTTTGGAAGTGCTGCCACTCTTTCCATTCATCTTGGACATTTTACTCTCTGGTTGTTCAGAAATACTGAAATCCAGTGCCCCCACTGGAGGGAGTTTATCACTAGTAAAATCCAATTGGTCATTTGCCTGCCACTGCCGTGTATACCTTTCCTGGTTATATTTAATGGGGTTTTTTTTCCATGCAACACTCCCATCTTCTGTGTGGGAACTAGAATTTGCAGTTCTATTTCTTTCCAGTGGATGTGTGTCCCCTGTGCCACCAAAATTCCAGCCATCGGCACCCTGAGGATTGGATTTCCAGTTTCTTGCTGAGTTTTTAGAATGCCAAATAGAAAAGTCACCTGTTCCTTCAGAATGCCAGTTGGAATTTCTTCCTTTGACATCTTGATACCATTTTGACATTTCTCCTCCTGCATTTGGATGCCAAACACCTCCAGAATTCCCATGGTTATCATGTTGACCTGAAAGGCCTGCAGAACCATTTTGATGCCATCCCGAGAATCCCCTGGGACCACTGAAGTGCCGGTCTGCATTAGGGTTCTTTATAGAATGTGGGAATTTGCCTTGCCTAGGATTCATAAAGCCATCATTTTCCCATTTCCAGTCCCTCTGAGATGGGCCATGATGGTGCCACAAGGATGGATCATAAGTTTCTCTGTCTTTATAAACAGCTCTTTCTTCTCGCCTTCTCTGTGGTCTCCTATCATCGGGTTCTATTTCTTGGTTTCTACAGCAAGCTTCAACTTGCCTAGAAGACATAAGGAAATATGTCTGTTCAGTGACTGAAAAGTATATCCCAATCTATCCCAGTTTTGTAAAAGAGGTAACAAGCCTCAAACTATTCAAAATGATCTAAAAATCTGCCAGAATAAATATATACATATTAAGCCTTAGATGTAAAGCAGGCTGGTAGGTAACAATACCACCACATAGGATAGCAAGTTCAGGTTGTTTGGCAGGACACTGGTTTCCCAAACTACTAACATCTGGAAATGGCTATGCACTTTGCCTCTGGCGCAGAAAACATAGTTCTTACTGCTTTCCTAATCCATTCTAGCAATGATGTCTGCTTAAGACAGCCAACTTCTCTTGTTTTTTCCACAAAGCCTGCATCGAGTGAAAACACTGACAATACCTCTCCAAAAAGCCCTTGCACCTCTATTGGGTACAGTTAAAAAACAAAGCAAACAAAAAAAAACAAAAACAATTTTAAGTTAAGACCAGATGTGAAGAGTAGCAAAATAAATCAGTATTTTAAGTGTCATCCAGCTATACCATGACCAAAAAAAAAGTTTCATTCACATAAGGCCTCTCCAAACAGTCAGTTATCATGCCGTCATTTGGATCATTTACTTATTTGTAATTACAACATCACCTACATGCTCCAACCAAGATTGGGGTCACATTGTGCTAGGCACAGTATAAACATGCAAGAGATTTTAAGCACTTCAGGGAAGGAACAAAGGAAGAGGGGGGAAAAAAAGATGCAGCATGGCCTCTGATTTTGCTTTGGACCTCTAGGGGCTTCTGTAATATAAATACAAAATACAAGGCATGCAATGGTTAGCAAGTGTCAGATTAGTTTCATTTGGGGGGGGACGGACTGTGGGGTGTATTTTTCCCATATGTAAATGTACACAAATTTGATGTATTGTGGTGTAGATATGGGTTGAGGAGGAAATGCAGGAAGTGATGAGTTAACAGGAAGAAAGGAAGGTGCAAATGCACTGAGGGGAGGTCAAATGTGACGCTTTCCCTGGCATTTCAAGAGTCACAATTTATTAATAGGCAGAAAACACTGTAATAAGAATTTGGTAGGTTACAAAAATAGCTAACCAATACTTAGCAAAGTTGCTTGCAGAAAAGATGACCTAAGATAGACAACTTCTTCCTTTCAAGTCCCATCACATGGCAGTCTCAACCTATACTGTACTATTTAATCTGTAATTAAATTGATTTGTTATCTTTTGGGGTCGGATTGGGGAAAATGAGGTGGCACTCTCCAAATCTTCACCCTTTGGTGGAACCAAAAATGAGACAGCACTCAGATTGCCCAGATCAGGGGTAGGCAACCTTTCAGAAGTGGTGTGCCAAGTCTTCATTTATTCACTCTAATTTAAGGTTTTGCATGCCTGTAATACATTTTAATGTTTTTAGAAGGTCTCTTTCTATAAGTCTACATTATATAACTAAACTATTGTATGTAAAGTAAACAAGGTTTTCAAAATGTTTAAGAAGCGTCATTTAAAATTAAATTAAAATGCTGATCTTACGCCACCAGCCTGCTCAGCTCGCTGCCAGCCTGGGGTTCTGTTCACCTAGGGCGGCAGCGGGCTGAGCAGGGCCTATGGCCGGGACCCCAGACCTTGGGGGGGGGGGAGGGGTTCAGGGCACAGGGCTGGGGGAGGGTTCAGGGCAGAAGGCTGGGGTGTGGGTGGGATCGAGGGTCAAAGGGCTGGGGTGT